ACAAATCTGACATCAGGAATCATAATACTCAAAAAACAGTGGGAGAACACTTTAACCTGTCTGGCCATTCAATGACAGATCTGCGGGTGGCTATCTTACAACAGAAAAACTTCAAAAACAGACTCCAACGAGAGACTGCTGAGCTGGAATTGATATGCAAACTAGATACAATCAACTCAGGATTGAATAAGGACTGGGAATGGCTGAGCCATTACAAACATTGAATCTATCTCCCCTTGTAAGTATTCTCACACTTCTTATCAAACTGTCTGTACTGGGCTAGCTTATCACTTCAAAAAAAAATTATCTTACTTAATTGGCCTCTCAGAGTTGGTAAGACAACTCCCACCTGTTCATGCTCTCTGTATGTGTGTATATATATCTCCTCAATACATGTTCCACTCTATATGCATCCGAAGAAGTGGGCAATGCCCACGAAAGCTTATGCTCTAATAAATTTGTTAGTCTCTAAGGTGCCACAAGTACTCCTGTTCTTTTTGCGGATACAGACTAACACGGCTGCTACTCTGAAACCGTAATAGAAAGGGAGATCTAGGATATGTTACAGATGGGTGTAATCTGCCCCTCTGAGAGTGCATGGGCCTCTCCAGTGGTTCTGGTTCCCAAACCAGATGGGGAAATCCGCTTTTGTGTGGACTAAGCTAAATTCTGTAACTCGCCCAGAAAACTATCCAATGCCACACACAGATGAGCTATTGGAGAAACTGGGACATGCCCAGTTCATCTCCACCTTAGACTTAACTAAGGGATACGGGCAAGTGCCGCTAGATGACCCAGCCAAGGAAATTTCAGCCTTCATCACCCATGTAGGGTTGTATGAATTTAATATGCTCCCTTTCAGACTGCGAAATGCACCCGCCACCTTCCAGAAACTGGTAGATAACCTTCTGGCTGGATTTGGGGAATTTGCAATCTCCTACCTTGACGATGTGGCTATATTCTCAAATTCATGGGTTGAATTCACAACCCTGGGTTTAGCAGGCCAATGCTCAAACCACTGAGTGATCCCTCCCCCTCCCAAGATATTGCCTATCTAGCCATAACCTCTAGCCACCAGTAAACATGATAAATATTTTCTGGTGATGAGATAAATCTACTTCAGGCTTTCAAAGAAATATGAGTTGTTAAAAATATTTAACAAAAAAATTCTTAATCTCTTCCAGGTGGCACATCATTATTAAGTGCTTGGAGTAAAGAGAAAGAAATAGGGCCAGATACCCAGCTCTTATATCCAGCCCATTATAACCACAACAATTTGCCTACAGCTAATAATTATTTAACTGTTCCAATAGTTGGATATTTTTACTGTGTACTCTGGAAATCCTCCTATCTTTGTTCAATTCTACTACATACATAAATGATATCAGTTTTGTTTGCTGAATATGTTCATAATGTAGTTTTAGTCCAGGCATTTCAGATTACTTGATGTTGCTTTGGCTTTAGGGCTTTGTCAGAAGATCACCACAAATTTTTTGAAAATGCAAAATGAAATTCTGTCACCCAGAAGGGTTCATCCAGATTATTGGACTTGAACACTTCAATCGATGTAGAAGATGGTCCTCTGCTGTAAGCACAGTGTGATTTTGGCAACATTAGTGAGGTTATAAAATGGATCTTGTGCCATTAGTTATTAAAATAACTATGTACCCTGGCCTAAGTACAAAAATCGTTACATTACCTTAATGTTGTAACCAAAAAGAGCAAGGACATTAGACTGGTATATTTATTATGCCAAAACATTCAAAGGTCTGAAGTACCAGTGGGTGATTTTACAAAAGCTGTAGGTGAAATCCTAGCTCCACTGATGGCAAAACTTCCTTGGCAAAACAAGTACATTCAATTGACCCAAGAATTCACTCTCTGGCAGCTGCACAATATGTGAGCACAGAAAAGCTCAAGGATTATGCTTCAGTCTTAACTTTGAATTTTCATTCATAGCAAAATCATAATTCTAAAAAATATTTAAGAGAGAAGAATTGGCTCCTTTGGTCTATTGAGAAATTCCATCTCATAACACTGTAGCAGCAGGAAGAGCTGAAGGAATGAAGCAGGACCGTGCTTTCTAAAACTCCAAACAAACTTTAACGCAACTAGAGCCCTCACATTGAGTCTACTGCCTGCCTGGAGCTGACAAGAGGCAGCACCCCACCCCACCCCCCGCAAAAAAAACCCCACTTTGTTTAAATTACTAATCTTCCAGCCTTTCTCAAACCACACCCACCTGCAACCCAGCCAACAGGAGAGGGGAAGCCCATTACAATATATGACTGAAATTAGCACATTTTGACATTCTCTCCCACCCCTCCATGGACATGGACAGCCCAGGATGCAGCATAACTGGTGGGGCTATGCTGCTTGTGAGGAGCTCTTGTGGGGCCCTGCGTTCCCTTTTATTTACATCATCATAATCTTGCACCTACCTAAGCCCCGATCCTGTGAACACTTAAGAATATGCTGAACTTCACACCTTGTAAATAGTCCCTTTCCCTTCAATGAAGCTAACATGCTTAAAGTTAAGTGTGTGCTTAAGTATAAGCAGGACTGCGGCTATAGACTTTACATATTCAAAGTCCAGTAAGAAGGTGAATTGATTAACTCGCACAAGCACTTTGTGAAGCGAATGAATATTAATATTGTCCACAGTAACAAACATGTCCCTGGATTCAGTTAACATTTACCTGCCAGCAACTTGAAACACTTTAACATTAATACTTTTAAGCTAGTTTGCAATTTTTTCAAAGCTTTATCTGTAATATTACATACTACCTCCGTTCCGTGGTTTTTATAAGCCCTCTTGCAATTCACTGGTATCACACATACGAAGGCTAAAATTAACAAAACAAAACAAAACATGGTACAATATGGAAACTAAAATCAGAGGCATAAAAATGCATATCATGTTCTATTCTACTTAATGTATTGAGTCTATTGTATTATTCTTAATGGAGATAGCAAAAATCCCAATGCCAGCTAGCAAAATGAATGACTATCTTGTAGCTATGTTATCATCAGAAAGCTTTATTACAAGGCTGTGACATCAAAGCAGTACAACTTATCTTCATTTAGGGTCTCATCCAGTTCCCATTGCAGTCAAAGGGAGTCTTTTACCGACTTCAGTAACAGTTGGATATGATCCTTTGAGCACAAGAAAAATGCCAGTCACCTTTTATAGCAGTGGTGGGCAACCTGCGGCCCATCAGGATTATCCGATGGTGAGCCGCGAGACAGTGTTTACATTTGGATTTGGACTAAATTCAACCTATGATATTTACCAATTTACCATGTCACCAAATACAAACTATTAACAGTTGTTTAAAAAGCAAACTGGAAGTTAGAAAAACATGTAAAGTTTTCCTCCTGTTTTACTTTTCTTTCTTTCAGAATTTTTTTTATAAAATTGCAGAAGGCAAGACATATTTTATATATGATTTTTTTACAAAAACCATGATATTCCTGTTAATATCCTTCTCAACTAGGTAAAAAACATGAGACAGGAAGTTGTTGAATAATGCTAAAAATTACATACACATTTCTGGGTTCCTATCCCAGCATGAGCTACTCAGCCTTCCCTCATGGAGTTGGCACAATATCATTAGAGCCCCTTGGTTTGTATAGCCTTTATAGCTCAGTAGCCTGTGTAGTGCCCTTTATTTAAAGGAAAACAAAGGTAGAATACAAAGAAATACTAGTTTTCACCAACATGGTGTAGAATAATCCAGCTCACATTGGTAGTGATGAAATAATTACAAATCCAAAGACTGCTTAATAGTCTAACATGAGAATTGTGGGTCACAGCCTATTTTATTCCAGAATGCACCATCAAAGCCATTTGGGTGAGCTTGTAGCTATGCAATGCACCATAGTGTCCAAGTTCAGGCCCCAAGTTCCCATAGGGTGACCAGACATCCCGATATTAGGGGATTATTATTATACATTTTTCTTTCTCCCTCCACCCCGAAAAATAAAGTGTCCCAATTTTTCACACTTGCTATCTGGTCACCCTACCCGGACCAGCAAGGGATGGGAACACTACAAAGACACATGGGTGCTGGAACCAGGGGTGCAGGGAGTGCTTGTACTCTCCCTGCCTTGAAGTAGTTTCCGTTATATACAGGGTTTACAGTTTGGTTCAATGGTTCTTAGTAACCCCCATACAAATTGTTCCAGCACCCCTGCAAAGACATCACACTCAACCCCTTGGAGTGATCCCATCTGAGCATCCAGGATGGAGCCAACAGACCCTTCAAAGAGATTACTTCACTCAGTGTCAAGCTTTTGAGGTGGGCAGGGGAAAGTAAATGGAGAATGTGGAAATTCCAGTGGACTGAAGATTTAAATATACACAGAGATACAATTATCCTCTCATCCTAGCTGAGGTTCCTCTCACCTTTGTGATGGCTAAAAAGGCTTATGTGAGGACACTGGCACTGCCATGATGTCAGTGGCCAGGACATGGGCAGTCATGCCTAGTGGTTGGCACAGGCACCAGAGCCCAGGGTCAGAGGCTAGGTGCCAGAACTGAAATTAGGAATCAGATCCAAGGATCAGAAACAGGTTCCCTGAAGTGGGGCAGGGCTGGAACAAGCACACACAGGAACTCGCTCAGCCATGAGTACACGATTTGAAGAGACACAGAACTGCTGCTGGGCTTAAGTGCTGGGCTGCTGACACTTCAAACCAATCAGGTGGTG